AATGCTAATAAACAAAATTTCAAAATCCATTTTCCTTTCGTTATTGTATTTGAAAAACAAAGAAAAAAAGAAAAACGATAGCGTTAAAGGAAATATGACCGTTACACAGTTGGGGTCCGAAACTGAATTAATTTGAATTTGATAATTTAATATTATTTTTTATAAAAACAAGATCATAAAAATCCAACGAAGATGCAAAACAACTAGTTCACACTTCACACACAGGAAAATCTGCAAACTTTCCATAAACGCACTACTTCACTTCACAGTTCATACACACTCTTAATTTCTCTGCAGCTTAGTCATCAGCATGAGCATGAACATGGAAACAACAAGCCAAGTGAGCAAAATAGAAGAAGAAGAAGAAGTGAAAGCAGTAATGGTTCAAGAAGAAGAAGCTAACCCTTATGCCTTTCATGTCTCTGGCCCTCGCAATTTGACTACCCTTAACTGGAGAGACCTTATCAGTTCTAGCTGGTTGGTACCCATTTCAGCTCTCGCTTTGATCTAACTGAAACTCGGATAAATTTTGCTTTTTGAATTGTGGGGTTGTTGTTTCTTGGCCTCATTTTGTTAATGATTGAAACTTAGTGTGAAAAGTTTGCAACTTGGTTTTTTTGGAAGTGTTAGGACAGAGCAGTGTTAATAGCATGCTTGGTTTCTTGTGTGAAGGATCTGAGTGCTGATCTGGTCCATTTTGAAGTTGTTGGCAGAATGGGTTTTAAGATTTAAGCATGAAGTTGTAAACTTTTAACAAATGGGTTTACAGAGAGTTTGAACTTTACGGTTTTTTTCTGACTGGAGGAACTCTTTGGAAATAGAAAAAGTAGCAAAATTTATCAAATGAGTTTACTGAATATTTGAATTTTATTGCAAAATTTATCAACTGGGTTTTGTTTATCATAATTAATTAGAGACGGGTTCATGGGAAAATGGTTGGGAAAGCTTAAAGGGTTATGTGAGGTTTAAGGTAGCTTCGAATGTACTAAAATCTGTTTCTGACACATACGGTGTCAATATATGTACTTGCTTTCTTATTCATTCTGCACCATAGTAATGGTGTTTAAATACAGAAAAGATGATCCAAAATCAGATCAAAGATACAAAAGATCCTAACAAATTATACAGATTGCTTAAAATCAAAACTAACTCCTATTTACAGGAGCTAACTACAACTACTAGTAAACAACAACCTTTCAAATAAGTTTAAAATTAAAACTCCTATTTTTAACACTCCCCCTCAAGTTGGTTCATGTATATTTATCATGCCCAACTTGTTGATTGCCTTCTCAAAGGACTTGCCAGAAACAGCCTTTGTTAAAACATCAGCAATCTGATCTTCTGACTTTACAAATGGCAGTTGAATAATCTTGTGATCAAGTTTTTCTTTGATAAAGAGTCGATCTACTTCCACATGCTTAGTTCTATCATGTTGAACCGGATTATGAGCAATTTGCACAGCAGCTTTATTATCACAGTACAGTTTCATAGGCTCACAATATTCGATTCCAATGTCTTTCAGAACACTCTTAATCCAAAGTAGTTCACAAATACCATGAGACATACCTCTAAATTCTGCTTCTGCACTTGATCGAGCAACTACCTTCTGTTTTTTACTTTTCCAAGTCACTAAATTTCCTTCTACAAATGTGAAATACCCTGAGGTTGACTGTCGTGTAGTCTTGTCTCCAGCCCAATCTGAATCTGTGTATCCCTCAACTGATGGTTTCTTGTTTTTGGAGAATAAGAGACCATTACCAGGAGTGCCTTTTAAATATCTAAGAATCCTTTGCACTGCCTTCATGTGATCTTCACTTGGAGAGTGCATAAACCTGCTAACCACACTTACTGCATAGGAAATATCAGGTCTTGTATGAGCTAAATAAATTAATTTGCCAACTAACCTTTGGTATTTACCAATATCAGTAGGAGTCTGATCTAGATAAATGCCCAAAGTATGATTCATTTCAATTGGAGTGTCTACGAGCTTACATGCTAACATCCCAGTTTCAGCAAGTAAATCAAGAACATACTTCCTTTGTGACAAACAGATTCCTCGGTCAGATTTGGCAACTTCAATGCCAAGGAAGTATTTCAGCTCCCCCAGATTCTTCATGTCAAATTCAGTGGATAGATGCTGCTCCAATGCTTTCATTTCACATTCATCATCACTTGTCACAACCATATCATCCACATAGACTATTAAAATGGTTACTTTTCCTCCTCTATGTTTTATAAACAAAGTATGATCAAAGTTACTTTGCTTATAACCAAATTTTTTCATAGCCAGGGAGAATCTACCAAACCATGCACTTGGAGATTGTTTCAACCCATAAAGGGCCTTTTTTAATTTGCATACTTGGTTCTCTTGTCGCTGTTCAACTCCAGGTGGTATTTCCATATATACCTCTTCCTCTAAATCACCATTAAGGAAGGCATTCTTCACGTCATATTGCTTTAGGCTCCAATTTCTGTTGGCTGCAACTGAGATTATAATTCTGACTGTATTAAGCTTTGCAACTGGCGCAAAGGTCTCTTGATAATCAATGCCATATCTTTGTGTGTATCCCTTAGCTACAAGTCTAGCCTTGTATCTGTCCAGGCTTCCATCAGCCTTTAGTTTTGGTGTAAATATCCATTTGCATCCTATTGTTTGCTCCCCTTGTGGTAGTGTAACTAATTCCCAAGTTGAGTTCCTTTGAAGAGCCTCCATTTCTACATTCATGGCCTCCTTCCATCTCGGATCTGCAAGAGCATCCTGCACATTTGTTGGAATAACTACACTAGATAACTGATTAGTAGCTAAAGCATATGATTTAGAAAGTTTCTCTGTTGAAACATAATTTCCAATTGGGTATTTAATTTTAGCAGATGGATCAGGTTCATATAATTTTGGAGGAATGCCTTTAGTAATTCTTTGGGATTTTCTGATTTGTGGTTCATGTATAGGTGAGGTATTATTACCTGGAGTACAAGAAGGCAGATTCGGAGAAGGCAGATTCGGATTTACCTCCTCATTATGAACATATGATGGTAAATCAGGGACAGCCACCTCAGTAGGATCTGGTGTAGGTGTTAAGTCTGGTGTGGAAGTCTCAATACTCCTGATAATTGTATCTTGTGCAGTAGTATTCTGAAAATTGCTTTGTGTTGAGATATCCATCAATACTTCTTCTCCATAGTTATGACTATGACTCAACTCCCCCTGAGAAGAAGTAGTGGTTGCTCCCCCTGAGTAAAAAGGTTCGGTTTCCTGAAAAGAAACATTAAGAGATACATGCAACTTGCGGAGAACAGGATCATAGCAACGATACCCCATTTGTGAATCAGAGTAACCAACAAAAATGCATTTAGAAGCACACGGATCAAGTTTATTTCTCAAATTTTTTGGAACATGAACAAATACCGTACAACCAAATATACGAGGCTCAAGATTAGAGACATGAGGAAGAGAAAAAAAAGATTCAAGTTTTTGAAGAGGAGTTTGAAAATTAAGTGCACAGGATGGTGTACGGTTGATTAAGTAAGCAGCAGAGATAACTGCCTCTCCCCAAAAATATCTAGGAACATTCATGCCAAATAAAGATGCACGGACAACTTCTAATATATGTCTATTTTTTCTCTCAGCAAGTCCATTTTGCTGAGGGGTATAAGCACAAGAAGTTTGGTGCTTGATTCCATACCATTATCCGATTGGAGCACTTGTATAGAGGACTGAAATTGTGTGTGGACCATATGTGAAAAAATTTTGAAGGCAGAAAAAACATCACTTTTGTGTTTTAAGAGAGAAATCAACATCATTCGAGTGCATTCATCAATGAACGTAACATAATAATACGATTTAGAAAGAGAGGGGACTTTGGCAGGTCCCCAAACATCCGAGTGAATAACTTGAAAAGGGGTAGCACTTTTATTAAAACTTGGAAAGTAAGGAACTCGATGACTCTTGGCCAACTTACAAACTGAACAATGAAAGCTAGAAATTGAAACTGAAACAAACAACTGAGGAAACAATTTTTGCAAATAACTAAAAGACAAATGCCCTAATCTACGATGCCACAACCAGATAGTGTCAGATGCTTGGGAGACCGATAGAGAACAACATAGTTGAGTAGAAGATTCGGATGATCCATGTTTGCAGTCGAGAAAGTACAGATCACCATGCTTAACACCATAACCAAGAGTCCTGTTTTGGTGAATGTCCTGAAATTTACAGTAAGTGGGCCAAAAAATAATGAGGCAATTCAAGTCAAATGTAAGTTGAGTGACAGACAACAAATTGGAAGTTAACGAAGGAACCACCAAAACAGATTTTAGAAACAACGTAGGGGTTAATTGAAGAGAACCCATCCCTGTGATACAAGCCCGTCCCCCATTTGCAGTGGAAATGGGGCAATTCAAGTCAAATGTAAGTTGAGTGACAGACAACAAATTGGAAGTTAACGAAGGAACCACCAAAACAGATTTTAGAAACAACGTAGGGGTTAATTGAAGAGAACCCATCCCTGTGATACAAGATTTGCAGTGGAAATATACGATTCAGAACAAGGTTCAAAATTTTTCAACAGAGATGAATCAGAAACCATATGATTTGAAGCCCCCAGTGTCTATTATCCAAGTAGAATTCGAACAATGGGCAGAAAATACAAAAGACTTACCCAAGATACCTGCGTGGGCTATATTTGCCTGAGGAGGACTGTGATCAACATCTGGTTGGGCAGTAAGACCCTTCGCAAGAGACTTCTTCCGAGGACGTTTGGTGAAATCCCACCACTCTGGATACCCAATTAATTCATAGCATCTTTGTTTAGAATGCCCTGATTCCCCACAATGAGAGCATGTAAATGAAGATCCCTTGCTGCTGAAGTTTTCCTTGCGAGGTTTGGAAGAAAAACGAGATTGAGAGACAAAGGCAGCAGCATCAGAATTCGGTTTTTGAGCACCCATGGTGTGGCGTTGATGGTAATCACGACGGACATAGGCATATGTACTTTCAAGGTCTAGTTTGGGGTCCTTCCGAAGAATTTCCCCCGCACTTGATCAAATTCCGAGTCCAGACCAGCCAGGAAAATATGAACACGCAGACGAGAGAAAGCAGAGTGATCAGAGATAATACCTTCAACAGTAGCGGAAGACGATTGGGAACGGTGATCAATCTCTTGAAATAGAGACAAGAGTTCGTTGAAATAGATGGAAAGGGGACGGCCAGATTGCTTGGTAGAGAACGAACGTTGATTGAGATCAAACAAGCATGATTCGTCGGAGCCATCGTAGAATGTTCGAGCAGCCGCGTCCCAAATCTCCGAAGCGGTGTCAAGCCGAATGAAACGTTGCATCGAACCAGGATTCATAGCATCAATCAACCAGCTCTTGACTCGTTTGTTATCGGTGACCCAGGCGTCGTACGTTGGATCAGAGGGCGGTGGTTTCTTGGCGGCACCGGTGAGAAACCCGGATTTGTTTCGAGCTCCAATACGCATATCCATTAGCTGTGACCACAAAGGATAATTTGTATCATCAAGAATAACCGTGAGGGGAAGAGAGGAATGATCTTGGTTGATGACAATATTGGGTGGCGGGGGTGGGTTTTGAGAAGAGGGTGGGTGTTGTTCAGAATCGGAGAGGGGTGGGGTTTCCATATTGGCAGATGAAGAAGAGGGAAAAAGAGAAAAAAAAAAAAAGGTTAAATTGTGGAGGTGGTGGGTGACGACGTCGTATAAGAAAATAGAAAAAAAATTAAATTTGGGAAGCGGTGGGTGGGTATATGATGATGGAGAAAAAAATCAAACCAGCTCTGGTGCCATGTCAAAATATGTACTTGCTTTCTTATTCATTCTGCACCATAGTAATGGTGTTTAAATACAGAAAAGATGATCCAAAATCAGATCAAAGATACAAAAGATCCTAACAAATTATACAGATTGCTTAAAATCAAAACTAACTCCTATTTACAGGAGCTAACTACAACTACTAGTAAACAACAACCTTTCAAATAAGTTTAAAATTAAAACTCCTATTTTTAACATACGGAAGCAGTCATGTCTGTATTTCAGGGTTTTTGGCCCTACCAGGAAGGGTTTCACAAATGACAGCAACGCAGATCGAAGGTAGCATGGGTGGAGATGAGAATGACATAGGTGGATGCCCTAACTTCAGAACAAGTGAGAAGTGGCTTGAAGATCCCACTTGCTCTAAGTGCGTAAAGAAGGACAAATTGTTGAAACTATTGGTGCTTTTGTATCTACCTTTGATGATTCATATCACTCGATCTGCTAGTATGCACATATAGCGGAAAAATAATGTTTATACATTTCTCTGCTTCTATGGGATTATGTGATGTATGTATGTTTATTGTAGTTTCCACAATGCTTTGATTTGCTAATTTCATGAACCAAGTGTGGTTAATATGATATCTTGAAGTAATATAGTTTATAATTTTTTTTTTGGCATCAATTGGTTAAATCTGTCATCATGTTGCAGTCTGTCTGCAGTTGGGAGGATCGTCATACAATGATCGTGAAGTTGAAGGGATTATCAGGAGGCAAATAATGTCGGGACCAATTCATTCACTATTTTAATCTTCTTAATCAAATATATGATATGATGCCCATATGGTTGTGTTTAACTTGAAAATGGTTCAATTGTTATCATCTTCTGTTTAACAGATGTCAGTTCTTCCTAGTGTCCAGCCATTCCATGCATTAGCATATACATTTGACCCTGCTTGCTATGGAAATCAGGTATGATTTTTTAACTAGACATATCTAATATAGAAAGGATATTATAAATCACTCCCCGTTAAACCCGACTAACGAGCGTGGGGTGGTTTTGCTAATTGTTGAAATAGTACTTGGGATTGTTGTCTTATATAAGATGTAAAAATCTTGTTCAGTTGTAATTTAATTGTATGCCGAATTTTGAGATGATATGTAGAGTTGTAATTTTGTTGAACCTTAATGATGTAGAAGCTTTAGATGTATCATGTCATTTCCAAAATATGTGTGTAGCCCCTATATGTAAGTATACGTTGTGGCCCCTCTATTATTGGCAAATACCTTATTTTTTGCTTTTGTATCTACCTTTGATGATTCATATCACTCGATCTGCTAGTATGCACATATAGCGGAAAAATAATGTTTATACATTTCTCTGCTTCTATGGGATTATGTGATGTATGTATGTTTATTGTAGTTTCCACAATGCTTTGATTTGCTAATTTCATGAACCAAGTGTGGTTAATATGATATCTTGAAGTAATATAGTTTATAATTTTTTTTTTGGCATCAATTGGTTAAATCTGTCATCATGTTGCAGTCTGTCTGCAGTTGGGAGGATCGTCATACAATGATCGTGAAGTTGAAGGGATTATCAGGAGGCAAATAATGTCGGGACCAATTCATTCACTATTTTAATCTTCTTAATCAAATATATGATATGATGCCCATATGGTTGTGTTTAACTTGAAAATGGTTCAATTGTTATCATCTTCTGTTTAACAGATGTCAGTTCTTCCTAGTGTCCAGCCATTCCATGCATTAGCATATACATTTGACCCTGCTTGCTATGGAAATCAGGTATGATTTTTTAACTAGACATATCTAATATAGAAAGGATATTATAAATCACTCCCCGTTAAACCCGACTAACGAGCGTGGGGTGGTTTTGCTAATTGTTGAAATAGTACTTGGGATTGTTGTCTTATATAAGATGTAAAAATCTTGTTCAGTTGTAATTTAATTGTATGCCGAATTTTGAGATGATATGTAGAGTTGTAATTTTGTTGAACCTTAATGATGTAGAAGCTTTAGATGTATCATGTCATTTCCAAAATATGTGTGTAGCCCCTATATGTAAGTATACGTTGTGGCCCCTCTATTATTGGCAAATACCTTATTTTTTGCTTTTGTATCTACCTTTGATGATTCATATCACTCGATCTGCTAGTATGCACATATAGCGGAAAAATAATGTTTATACATTTCTCTGCTTCTATGGGATTATGTGATGTATGTATGTTTATTGTAGTTTCCACAATGCTTTGATTTGCTAATTTCATGAACCAAGTGTGGTTAATATGATATCTTGAAGTAATATAGTTTATAATTTTTTTTTTGGCATCAATTGGTTAAATCTGTCATCATGTTGCAGTCTGTCTGCAGTTGGGAGGATCGTCATACAATGATCGTGAAGTTGAAGGGATTATCAGGAGGCAAATAATGTCGGGACCAATTCATTCACTATTTTAATCTTCTTAATCAAATATATGATATGATGCCCATATGGTTGTGTTTAACTTGAAAATGGTTCAATTGTTATCATCTTCTGTTTAACAGATGTCAGTTCTTCCTAGTGTCCAGCCATTCCATGCATTAGCATATACATTTGACCCTGCTTGCTATGGAAATCAGGTATGATTTTTTAACTAGACATATCTAATATAGAAAGGATATTATAAATCACTCCCCGTTAAACCCGACTAACGAGCGTGGGGTGGTTTTGCTAATTGTTGAAATAGTACTTGGGATTATTGTCTTATATAAGATGTAAAAATCTTGTTCAGTTGTAATTTAATTGTATGCCGAATTTTGAGATGATATGTAGAGTTGTAATTTTGTTGAACCTTAATGATGTAGAAGCTTTAGATGTATCATGTCATTTCCAAAATATGTGTGTAGCCCCTATATGTAAGTATACGTTGTGGCCCCTCTATTATTGGCAAATACCTTATTTTTTGCTTTTGTATCTACCTTTGATGATTCATATCACTCGATCTGCTAGTATGCACATATAGCGGAAAAATAATGTTTATACATTTCTCTGCTTCTATGGGATTATGTGATGTATGTATGTTTATTGTAGTTTCCACAATGCTTTGATTTGCTAATTTCATGAACCAAGTGTGGTTAATATGATATCTTGAAGTAATATAGTTTATAATTTTTTTTTTGGCATCAATTGGTTAAATCTGTCATCATGTTGCAGTCTGTCTGCAGTTGGGAGGATCGTCATACAATGATCGTGAAGTTGAAGGGATTATCAGGAGGCAAATAATGTCGGGACCAATTCATTCACTATTTTAATCTTCTTAATCAAATATATGATATGATGCCCATATGGTTGTGTTTAACTTGAAAATGGTTCAATTGTTATCATCTTCTGTTTAACAGATGTCAGTTCTTCCTAGTGTCCAGCCATTCCATGCATTAGCATATACATTTGACCCTGCTTGCTATGGAAATCAGGTATGATTTTTTAACTAGACATATCTAATATAGAAAGGATATTATAAATCACTCCCCGTTAAACCCGACTAACGAGCGTGGGGTGGTTTTGCTAATTGTTGAAATAGTACTTGGGATTATTGTCTTATATAAGATGTAAAAATCTTGTTCAGTTGTAATTTAATTGTATGCCGAATTTTGAGATGATATGTAGAGTTGTAATTTTGTTGAACCTTAATGATGTAGAAGCTTTAGATGTATCATGTCATTTCCAAAATATGTGTGTAGCCCCTATATGTAAGTATACGTTGTGGCCCCTCTATTATTGGCAAATACCTTATTTTTTGCTTTTGTATCTACCTTTGATGATTCATATCACTCGATCTGCTAGTATGCACATATAGCGGAAAAATAATGTTTATACATTTCTCTGCTTCTATGGGATTATGTGATGTATGTATGTTTATTGTAGTTTCCACAATGCTTTGATTTGCTAATTTCATGAACCAAGTGTGGTTAATATGATATCTTGAAGTAATATAGTTTATAATTTTTTTTTTGGCATCAATTGGTTAAATCTGTCATCATGTTGCAGTCTGTCTGCAGTTGGGAGGATCGTCATACAATGATCGTGAAGTTGAAGGGATTATCAGGAGGCAAATAATGTCGGGACCAATTCATTCACTATTTTAATCTTCTTAATCAAATATATGATATGATGCCCATATGGTTGTGTTTAACTTGAAAATGGTTCAATTGTTATCATCTTCTGTTTAACAGATGTCAGTTCTTCCTAGTGTCCAGCCATTCCATGCATTAGCATATACATTTGACCCTGCTTGCTATGGAAATCAGGTATGATTTTTTAACTAGACATATCTAATATAGAAAGGATATTATAAATCACTCCCCGTTAAACCCGACTAACGAGCGTGGGGTGGTCGAGTAACGGGGAGTGGTTTATAGTATCCTTTTTATATTAGATATGTCTAGTTAAAAATCATAGAAAGGATACTATATTATAATAAATTTGTTTTCCTTTGTTTCATAATATGTTTTTTACTCACTGTTTACAGTCGTAAATATGCTGCACGCCGCTCCTTAATTGCATCTCGTTTTGTTCTTCCTCTGTTCAGCAATCCTCCGACTCCGACTATGCCAATCAAGCATGAGGGAGGATATGAGAAATTTTGGTAATCACCCCTTGTCACATCTCATGGGATCTATTTTCGGCATGCACAACAAGAAAAATGTTGAGGTATAAAACTTGGTTTAATCCAATCCGTGTGTGTGTCTTGTTCCTTCTATTTTTGGTTCGTACTTAGTGATCTATATATGTAGGTGTTCTGCTATGCCAAGCATTCCAAATGTTGGTACTGAATGGAGACAAAGTGTTCAGTCTGAAGCAAGAGCATTTT